AAAGAAAAGTTTCGTTTCTAAAAATTAATTACGAGATTCTTAAATTTTGATTTCGTTAACACTTTGGTACTTTTTGTCGAAAATAGCATTTTTTATAAATTGATCTAAATTTTTTAAAGAAAATACAATGGTACTCAAATTTATATTAATCCATTAAACTCTTCAATTTGTAATTTATACTTATCAAAATATTTTATTTTATAAAATCATATTTATTGAATATTTTAAAATTATACTTATCATATATATGTAAGATAATTTTAAAATGTGAAAATTGTAATTTAATAATTTTTATTAAATATGTTTCAAGTATCTACTTATTGGATGCAACAATAACAATTGAAAAATGTCTAAATTTCTGTTTAATAATTCAGGTTTTGCAAATTGTATATATATGTTTTTATAAGCAATGCAGAACTGTTATTAAAGGATTGAAAAAGAAGGTTAACAGTAAACTTATAATCAAAGAGCTAATCCCTAGCCAATAGGCTAACTCAAAATGCCCATCTTAACTCAGATTGATAAGAAAACCCAAACCAAGAACAAAAAAACTGCAGAAAACCAGGAACAAAACTGCAGAAAAATCAAAGACAAAAGACAAAAAAAAACAAAAAACTGCAGACAACTGTAGGAACTTCTCTTAAGGTAAGAGAATGATACTTACAGTAACAACAAAACACACTAAGAAAAAACACAACAAACAATAAGAAAGCAACCCCAAAGCTTAGAAGCAAACTTGAGACTAAGCATTAGCACAGCTTGCAAGAAACACAAACACAACAAAAACAACAAAATTAAATCCATGCTAAGAATGGAGACGCAGCAGTCACTCCTTTTTTCGCTAGGCTATCAGCAAAGTAATTCCCATTTCTATGGATGAAAACAAACTAAACCTCCTTAAGTTGATCCACAACATAATCAAACCTGTTAAATTTTCCCCACATTCTCCAAGGTCTATTATGTTTTTGCCAAATCCAACATAACACATTTTTGGAATCAGATTCCACAATCAGCGCACATAGCTTAAACGTCTACTGCTAATAAAATTCGACAGCTGCAAAAATAGCTAGAATTTCAGCTTCATTTAAGTCAATAATTTCAACCGAATGAAAGAAAATATACTTCACAGAGCCTAAACTATCTCGCAACACACCACCAACATCCGCAAGTCCCGGCTTACCTAGAGAGGATCCATCGATATTCAACTCCATCCAACCCATTGCCGGATTAATCCAAAAAGCTTCCTTAATCGAAACTGATGACTTTCTGCCAAACGCACGACCTGACTTACAAACCTCTACAGGAAACGCAAATCAATCACCCAGATTAAAGGAATCCAACTTATCTTTCAATTTTAATAATTCGAAACTTCTAACTTTAATCAAATCCACCATCTCTTCCATCCTCTTAATCTCACTATTGAAAATCGCTTTATTCCTCACCAACCATACCGACCATAGAGTAACACCCATTAAGGAATTCCAAGAAAGAGAGCTACCTTTTATTTTCACTATACTTTGCCATTGCCAACTCAAATCTATCAAGGAACTAGGCAAAACCCAGCTTGCATTCCATCAATGCAACACACCCTCCCAAACCTTTCTGGAAAGAACTTAGCAGGAGGAGATGAACATCAGACTCAATCTCAGAACCGCAGAAAGGGCAAAGAAAAGTCTTGAGAACTTGATAAAATAAGACGGCTAAGAAGATTAATTCTACAAGGAATTTAATTAATCATAACTCTCCAAAGAAAAAAGGAGAGCTAGGAAATAGATGACCACACCAATTTTAAATTATAAGAAATGCTACCCACCTCCGACTCAGCCTCTTCCAATAAACATGTCAAATTCTTGACTGAGAATTTACCTTTTTTATAAAAAGACCAGATTAGTCTATCCTCGTTGTTGGGTAAAACACACAAGTTCTCTAGCCTCTTGGAGAGTTGATTCCAATACTCTTCCTCAAAGCTCCTTAAATCACGCTACCACTCTACTATCCACACCCACTTACTATTTTCAACATATCCACACTCACAAACTCTTGCTCATTTATTTTTTGCTAATCTAAACAACCTGGGAAACAAAGAAGACAACGGCACATCTTCAACCCATAAGTCCAACCAAAATTTAATCAAATGCCCATCTCCTAACATCCATCTAAAATCCCCTTTAAAAAAATGTCTCAAAGGGGAAGAAACCCCAACCTCCACAATATCTTTCCATATAGGAGACAATTTTTTCCAAAGGTTATTATCCAGATCAACATTCAACATACCCTCATTACCATATTTTGATATTATAATTTTCTACCAAAGAAAAGCACTCTCAGCCTTAAATCTCCACCACCAGCAGCTACCCAAAAGAGCTAAGATCTTCCTTCTGAAATTCGCAACACCATGGCCCCCAAATTTTTTTGTTTCTACAGATGCTTTTCAAAGCAACCCAATTCACCGGTCTTTCATTATCCAACCCTTTATACCCCACAGGAAACTCTTCTGATTGCCTCTATTTTCTTGATTATTGCTGAAGAAGCTTTAAACACTGACATGTAGTAAAGGGGCAAAGAATCTAAGACAGACTTAATCAAAGCAATCTTACCCCCAAAGGAGAAGTTTCTAGCCTTCCATAGAGATAATCTTTTTTCAAATTTTTGAATCACCGCAGACCATGTAACAATCTTTCTTGGACTGCTTCCAATGGGAATACCAAGTTACAAAGAGAAAAATTTGTCTAGCACACATTCTAATATCGAAGCAAAATTTGTCAATTCTTCTTCAAAAAGATTTATCCCGAATAGTCTACTTTCACTGAAATTAACACGAAGCCCAGAAAGAAAGTGGAAACACACTAGAGTTACTTCTTAAATCACAAATTTAATCTTCTTTAGCAACATTAAATATAACCGAATCATCTGCGAATTGTAGATGAGATACTATAAATCCACTCTCCCTCACCTTAACCTCCTGAATATGTATGTATAATTTTATAAACTGAAAAATTTACTGGGCCAACTTAAAAGTTGGAGTATTGGACTTTTTTTTATATAAAGTTGAAGTGTTAATGTATGTATTAAACTTTTAAAATCCCTTGTTCAACACAATCTTTCATTTTTGAAGGTTTTAAAAATCTCAGAATGGGGTGTGATTCTAAAGTAATATATTCTTTAAATAAATAAATAAATAAGAGAAGTTGTACAAATTCATAATTTAATTCTTTAAACTTCAACAAATTTCAAGAGTTGACAGAAAAAAAAAAACACTGGGGTAAATAATTTCAAGAGTGTATTTTCTTCTTTTTCTCATCCATATGCTGATGAAAAAAATGCAATTGAAGATTTTCAAGTAGTAGACTAAGTTTACCTAAGATTAGAGACACTATCCAAATAAACTTTCCAGACTTGGATTTGGAGTTCGGTCTTGGGCTCAGCTTGGTCTAGCCCACTTTGGAAACTGTTATTTTCTTTTATAAGGTCTTGTACAGCTAGAGTGGTTACATTAAAATTAATACATTTGTCCGGACCTTCAATTTCACCCCAACTCTTCAAGTATTTACAATTTCATTCTAAATCGACCTTTGTACCCTAAGCACACTCTACTTATGAACTTAATTGTAATTACACCCTAATTTAAATTAATACCAACTCATTATTTTTACATTTTAAAATCAAATATTCAATCTTGATTTTTTTTTATTATATGAATACTTGGGTTGGATTTTATTATTTATTACTTAAATACTTGGTATAAAGTGTATTTTTTATATTATTTTAATCAAAATTCCGATTTTAGTTTATTTTTAAGATGTAATTGCAACAAATTGACAAATTCTAAATTGTTTAATTCACTTTTAGAGTGCAATTGCACCTTAAAAGTAAATTATGGTGCAATTGCAATAAATTGACAACTTTTCAGAGTGAAATTGCAGGTTAGTACTTATTATTTCAAATGAATATAAAAAAGACGAGTTTATTTCATAATTAGTTTACGTAAGGATAATAATGGTTTGGTAATAGATGACTAAAATCTCGTCAATAGAAGACTCTGGATACATTTGATAAGCTACATTTCGTACTGTTACAGGTCCAGCATCAACCACACAACAGTCTATTAACTGTTCCACCTGAAAATTATAACATATCAACTAACTTATCAAACTTATATTTTATAATTATTACTGTTTTTTTTATACAAAAAAAAAAAAAAAAAAATTTTTTATACTTATATCTGATCAAAATTCCGATTTTTAGTTTATTTTTAAGAGTGTAAATGTGCAACACATATTTGAACAAATTTCTAAGATTGGTTGTAATAGTTCACTTTAGAGCTGTTCTGCAACTTGACGCACCTTAATAGAGATATAAGAATTATGGTGGCTAATTGCAATATAATGTGACAACTTTTCAGAGTGAGTGAAATTGCAGCGCCCGGTAGTACATTCAAGATATGATATACAAAAACAGTCTCATTTCTAAAGACGATAAGGTAATACATAGGCTTTGTAATAGAACTAAAATCTCCGTGTCAACTAGAAATCGATCTCATGGGATACTGATCTTAGATAAGCTACATTTCGTCTTGTTACAGATCCAGCATCAACCACGACCAACGTTCACATCAAACTGCCACCATTGAAATCATAACATATCAACTTAACTTATCAAACTTATATTCATAGATTATTACTGTTTTTTTTTTATACAAAAAAAAAAAAAAAAAAGTTTCTGCTTAGATAAAGTCATATTCGAAATTATATATATATAAATATGAAAGATAAGAAAGAAAGAAATTATATAAAGATTGCAGCTTTTATGCCAGCAAAGTTCCATTGAGCCATCAAAGCAACCCCATAAGATACCGGGTTTGTATTACCATATCAATTTCCTGCTGGACTTCTCTGTTACAATTAATTATTATTAAAAAAAAAAAAAAAAAAAAAAGTTTCTTGCTTAGATAAAGTCATATTCAAAATTATATATATAAATAGAAAGAAAGAAAGAAAGAATTATATAAAGATGCAGCTTTTATGCAGCAAAGTTCATTGAAGCCATCAAAAGCAACCCATAAGATACGGGTTTTATACATATCAATCCTGACTTCTCTGTTACAATAATTAATATTTTTCTTTTCCTAATAGTTCAGTTCACAGCTCAAGCTGAGATGTTAGAGGCAGAAAGAAAAGAGAATGAAAGAATCTTATCAAACACCTAATAAGAATAATCATAATAATAATAATAATAAATACTAAAAAAAAAAAAAAAATTGGAAAGAACAGCCACGACAGATGAGAAAAGAATGTTGTTCTGCAGTAGCTAACAATACTCCCTTTCCCTTTTTTTTCTGTTATTGCCAACTAAACTTCCATCTTCCTTATTGCTCTTACCCAATCTTTTTAAAGCTTTCTCCACTCCCAACTGTACCTATTCCACAGCCAAACAAACTGTCTCTGTAATATCAGTTCACATTTATTTAACTACATATATATACAGACACAGATTATCTACTATATATATATATTCCACAAATAGCATTTAGAGCAATTTCGATAATTCGTTGCACTAGGAAAGAACCTTCCAACCCAAATTGATTAGACTTGTCTAAACCTGATAACTCGATAATCTTTAACGTTTGGGAGCAATATTGCGCGATACCTAAGCAAATGCACCTTCGGCTTAGGCACAATTTGCATTCCAAGACTTGAATAGATAGTATTAAATATCGATTTTCGTTGCGTTTTAACTATTTTGAGATAGTTTAAAATTTAATTAATTGCTATAAAACTTGAACTTAGTGATAATTAAACTTGCCTCCATTGAAAAACAGGAGCTGGCATTGACAGAAAGCACACAAGGTAAGAGTTGGAAATGACAATGAATGGAACAAAGCACATAAAATCACCATGGATCAACTTGTGTTTTATTCTACACACGCTGACGAAAAGGGCATTTTGGTCTTTCTCTGTCACGTGGATTTCTAAGGGTGCCGGTTGGCAGTGGACCCAACTCAAACACGATGGCACGTGACACAATGATTCTTTGTTCACATTTGACTGACTAAATGACTACTACTGACTAGGTTAACTGGGACATGTTACCATGTGATGCCACCACAAAAAGGTAGTATACAACCACCTGTATAATTCATGTATATAATAGTATAATTAATTATATCCAATAAATTAAATAATTACCTGGGCTAGGGGCTATTGATGGAGGTTTAGACATTATGGTAGGGACAGTGGTGATGGGCCCCGCTGTTGTTGGAGGAAAGATATGGGCAGGTAGTCCCATTGTCTGTGATTGATGGAAGTGATACAGAGGGTACATTGGCATCACTGCATTCGCACCCATAATAGGCTGCCCTGGATACACCTGTGAGAAATGACCGTTCATGTAGGACCCACCTGTGTAGCTCAGCTTCTGTGGACCCATCATCAATTCACCCCCAAAAAAGAAAAGAGAACATTAGACAGAAAATGTAACTTTTAAAAAAATAATTATCACATCAATTTCACTAATTTCTCTTAATTAATTGTAGATTATCAAAAATTTATGGATCAAATGAAACCATTTATTATAAATAGAGGTGATCACAGTCAATTTACAACTTAGATGTTGATAGATTTTTTATAATAATCATACGATTTTGATAAGTTTTAATGAATTATAATGCATTATTATGTTTTTCAATCATAAACATTCTATAATATTTCATGGAAATTCTATTTTCAAATTCTGTTAAAAATTTTATTAGAAAATAAAAAAAAATAGAAACTGAAAATCAAAATGGAATATTAACAACTAATTGAATGATAATGCAATAATTATTTAGAGTTTTTGAAAATTAAAAAAATTTAGTCTTAGATTAGTTAGAAAAAATAATTAGAAAAACATAATACTAAGTGATAATTGTATATTGAAGCACTCACATGATTATAACTAACATCTGTAGCAACGTAAGTCGGGGTATAACTGCACATGAGCAAAGAATATTATAAGACACAAGTCCATTAATTTCCATAAATTACAATAACAATAATAATAATAAAGATAAACGAACTAATGGAGTTTAGTTTAATTACCCATAATAAGGAACGGCCTGATGGTGTTGATGATGAAATGGGGCCGCAGGTGAACCCGCAGGATAGTACCACTGCACATGATTTACTGGTGCCGATGATGTGGACCTCGGTCCGACGTTGGATCCTTCATCATCGAATACAAATAAAACACATTATTTTGGAACTTATAGAGATGCCCACCTGTTTTGTTACTTGTAAAATTCGTTTATAAATTTAAATTTTTAATTTTTATAATATACATACCATAAAGTTTACATTATCATATTTTAATGAAAATAAAATTATAGGATTAGTAATAGTTATAATTTTTATATTTAAAAAAAATGAATTATTTATTTATTAGAAAAACAGAAAAATACATATAGTTATTATTCTTTTTTTTTTCTTTTTTTGCTAAATATGGCAAGGACCCACGTAACTTCAAGGATTTTTCACTTCAAGAAAGTTTTGACTTTTAAATTTCCGAAAATAAGTCAACATTGTTACCATTAATCCCATATGCTTTCGCACCATAAAGGAAAGAAAAACCAATCGGCTTTGATTTGGTAACACTGAAAGTACATAGTATATACCTTGTTGAGGAGGGCCCGGAGTGGCGGACCTTGGGCGGCGAGCACCAAGCGAAGCCAGATTACAGTTGGCCCGGCGGCCATTGATGATCGGTGTAGCATCCTCGCAAGCCTTTTTAGCTGCTTCAGGGTCCTTAAACGTAACCTAATTAAGAAACTGAACTTATTAGTATACTGAACTACATGATGACTAGATGTACTAGTACTACTTAGTTAAATAATAAAAAAAAAAAAAAGAAGAGAAACTTACAAATCCATAGCCCTTGGATCTGCCGGTGACCTTATCGGAAATAATCACAGCCTCTAAAATCTCACCGTACTTTTCAAAATGCTCTCTCATGGCTTCTTTTGGAGTTTCCCATGCTAATCCTCCAACGAACACTTTTGTTAGTGTTGTATCTCCGAATTGGCCAATACTGTTGCTCAAAGTCATAGTTGTGGTTTTCTGCTTCTTTTACAGATGAAAATGTAAAAGAAAGAAAGAGAGAAGAAAGCGAGAGAAGAACCGAAGAAGAAGGAGGTATATAAAGAAGAAGGTGAAAGAATAAAATATTTGGAAAAAATAGAGAGACAGAGAGGCAGACAGATAGACTTTGCCTAAGACATCATCAAACGTGATTTCACACACACATAAATGTATTTCACCCTGTCACATATCAGTTGATCGCGGAAAAGTCACGCGCTACCATTGAGAGTTGTTGGGAAATTTATTTAGCGCGTAAACAATGGAAAATTGATTAGTTCAATAAAATGTCCAAAACACCCATGGTTTATTTTACTTTTTTATCCTTTTTTTTAATTATTGATATTGTACTTTGTATTCCGTATTTTTCTCTAAAAATAATTGCATTTCATTTTTAGTCATTTAATGTCAATCATGATTTGTGTAATTGCAGTTACGTGTTTTTTGATTGATTAAATGGAAAATTAAGTATTTAATTAGTTTATTGAAAAATAATAAAAGAAGCAATGAAATGCTTTTTTTTAGGACTAAATCAAATGTCATGATCTCATTGCTTAAAAATAAGGATCCATTCTTATTTCTAGAAACTCTCGAATCACGAGTAATCAACATAAGAAAAATATAAAAGGAAGTCATTTTATTAAAGCGACTGGCTGTTAGAGTCGTTTGTAATAATCTCGTACTCCAAATTTTAAGGTAATAAGTGATAACCTTATTCAAAAAAAAATAAAGAGAGTTAATAATTTATGTAGTTGTAAAGAATAATAAATGTAAAAGGGTTACAATTAATTTTATTATTTTTCCAACACAACTACTGAAACCTTTACATTAAATTTACTTTCTATTAGTAGTATATATTAGTTAGATATGCACTAATTCCTCAAGAAAGAAATCAAATTAGTGTAAGTCTAAGGCAAAATCCCTTTTAAAGGTCAATTCTAAATCTCATGTATGCTCTTTCCATTCCCAATTTTTTTGTCACAAAAAAAGCAAACATGAAATTGATTAAAGCTCATAAAATATGGGGGAAAAAAAAAGGGGAAAAGGCTACACTTACAAAGATAATCTAAAAAATGATTTGAGATATCATTTGTTTAACAAAAGGCATAATTCTCCTGACCATAAAAATTTTCACTAATTTGATGAGTTACGAAAAAAATTGTTTCTGTTGTATAGTCCGTCATGTTACTTTTAACCCATTGAGTCTCTTAATGACTAAAAAAATGGTGTAGTCAACTTCTTAATAATTTGTTTAGGTCATTACCGGTTAGGCTTAATTAATAATTGATCTTGAGTTGTTCAAAACTCGCACTTTAGTTTTGAATTCACTCCTATCATATTTCATTTGTAATGAGTCAAATTTTGATGTAATCTTGAAGTTCTTCAACTTCTCAAACTTTAAAATTTGATTTAATGATTTACCAATAGATGGTTTTAAGATATAAAAAGATTGATTGAGCTTTTGCTATACTGAAGTTCTTTCTTTTGAGAGAACTTCAAATAATTTGATTAGGAGCAAATGGACGCTGTAGAGTTCTTTTTATAGCCAAAGGAAAATTATCATTGTGTTCGTTAGGTGATAAGATATTTACATCTTGATCCTTACTTTAACTTCCATCGGTCTTTATTTATTATTATTTATGGGACAAAAGGAGGACGATGAAAAGCTAGTCATAAATCTATATACTAGGGTTAAACGAATATTATATTTAGACTATCTCTTCAATTTCCTACTAAGATTTAATTTCATAATCACATCATATGTTTTCTGGATTCCATACTTTAAATGTGGATAATTTTGCGTACCCAAATTAAAATGGTACAAATTAGTATAACATGTATGAGTTAAAACATGATATCATTTATTTATTAAAAGAAAAATAAAAAAAATAAAAAATAGAGTCATTTTACTAATGATTTTATTTTTCACTCTATATACCAATCGTAGTTTGATTTAACCAACCAAAATATAGTCTAATTGGTCTTCTTGTTTGTGTAAGAAGTGAAATGTCTTGAGTTCGAATCATTTTAACTATAAAAGTTTTCACTAATTTAGTCAGTCAAAAAAGAAAATTGTGTAGCCAATTGTGTTATTTGAGTGAATTAAATTTTTCAAATCAGAAAATAAATTTAATACATGCATGAATTTTTTTTTTTAATAACTACTGAGTTAATACCTTACTACTACACCTTACTAATATAACATATATATATATATATATATACACACACACATAACATATTACTACTAGAATAAAATAGGTAAAAGTGAACCTACAGGTTTAGCTCAATTGACAATCCAAATTAGATATATTGGAAGAGTTATGAGATTCGATTCCTCAAAACGCACCTATAGGGAGAGACAAGAAGCTTTAATTGTAAGTAAGCCTCTAGCTTGATTGGATGGTCCATGATAATAAAGTCCGGATATTAGTAGTTTAAAAAATAAAAGAGGGGGTAAAAATGAAAGTGTTAAAATGGTAAATTGCGGAAGTGTCGTCAGTCACACGCGCAGGTAAGATGGGAAGGAACAGGTGAAGGCCGTACGTTGAATGGTAGTGGGACCAACAAAGGTAACGAATTTAACGTACGCGTCGTGCAGTCCTAAGGGTTGCCAGGTCGGAAAGGCCGGTTGTTTCGGACAATAATCAGCTACAACTATGCCTTGCTGTCGCGATATCAATTACCAATTATACCCCTCCCAGATTTATTTAAATTTCTTTTTTTTTTTCCATAGTTTATTAGCTGAATCTCCTTCTCCTAAGACAACGAGTTCTCTATTAAATTAAAATATCTCAATAATAATCTGACCTACCAGTACGTAAAAAATTAAATTCAAAACAATCTTATTCCAACATAAATTTTAAATTTCACTTTCATATTTCCAAAGAGTACCTTAATGGCTAAGTATACCATGAGAACTCACAACCAATGTGAAATAACTAACTAGCTCTTTAAGTTTGGTTATAATTACCATTTCACTTTTATTATTCGGTAAATATATTAATTAGCCTATGAGATAATACGATTTGATCTCGGTGAATTTTTCAGTCTTTCGTTTAAAAAATATTATTTTAAATGTATTATTTGACCATTTTAACATCCATATTTAATATAATATTATTATTTAATTTCACATATTTACTTTAAATTATTTATTTAAATCATTTACTTAACTGTAAAAATATTCTTTGGATAGTGAATTAAATAATTTAATGGAAACAAATTTTAGTTGTTAAATTTATGGTAGGTCCAATAGTTTGGAGTATCGAGTTATTTAATAAGGGGCTATTCTATTATTTAATAGGGAGAACTCGAATTTAAATTTAAAAAATCTCTCGCTTTTTATTTTCCAAAGACATGAAAAAAACGAACGAGAAGAGAAGAGAATTGATTGACTTAAATATAAAATAATAAAATAAAATAAAATAAAATTAATAGACTTGATGTATCTTATCTGACTGCGTAAAACTTTTAATGTAAGCAACCATTAATTATTTTGTGATTAATTTTATTTCAAATATAATGTATTGTTCTTTATTATTATTATTATTATTATTATTATTTCTATAATTTGACTGCCAATATTTCTTGAAATAAAAGAAAACAACAAAACAAATGAAGACAAAAGGGGAAAAAGTAGATTAAAAAAAAAAAAAAAGAAACTTAAGTTATAAAATAATAAAAATAAAAATAAAAATAAAAGATAATAGACTTGATGTTATCTATCTGAACTGCGTTAAAAACTTTTTGAATGATTAAGGCAACCATTAATTATTTTTGTGAATTATTTTATTTTCAAAATATTATGTAATTGTTCTTTATTATTCATTATATTATTTATTATTATTTCTATAATATTATGCCAATATTTCTTTGAATATAAAGGAAAAAACAACAAAAACAAATATGAGACAGATAGGGGAAAAGTAGATTAAAAAATACAAAAAAAAGAAAAACTCTTATCCCTCCACACAATTCAGAACTTAAAACTAACTAGTAACTGTAAAAAAAAAAAAAAAGAAACTCTTAATTCCTCCACACAATCCGAGAACTAAACTACTAGTAACTGAGTTCAAAGATAGTGATTAGTGACTTGGCATCACATGATTGGCAAGCAAAAAATCTTAGATATTAATAAAGAAAACTAAAAAAAAAAAAAATGTTTTGCTAAGCAAATATTGGTTTCCCGTTTCTGTGGGCTTAATCTTCTTTATAAATTTATAATAATAATCATTTATTATTTAGAAACTTTTGTAAGCAACGAAATGGTCAAAATCAGAATACTCTTCTAATGTGCATCAACCTCAATGCGACCAACTTCTCTGCTGGATCACATGGACCCACCATTTTATCTACGCAGCATGGGCCCATTTTACACGATTTATTTGTTTATTTATTTATTTTTAAATAAACAACCAGATTTAAAAAAAAAAAAAAAAAATTTGAAGTAAAAGAGTAATGATTCAATATGTAGAAATTTACCTTGGACATGAATTTTCGATGATTAAATCTTTCACTTCCTGTAATTGTCAATAGAGGAAACAAAATATGCTTTAAGCCTTATTCCTAAATTAATTGGGATGAATTATATAAATCCTTTGTTACAAAATTTAAGCACAAGTATAGAACTAAAGATAAGATATTACACTTAAAAAAATTATTTTCTCTCAATAAATCATTATAATTCCTAATCATTATATTTTGTAATCTTTTTCTTATGTTTCTACGTAATTATACTTTTTTTTCTGAAATATTTCATTTTTAATGTCATTACACTATTTCAATTATCCAATATCAATGAGATATCTTAGAAATAAAAATTAAAATTTATAACTAAAAAAGATGAAATTTATTTTATCTTAATATAACTAAGTGCAAAATTGAATCATTATTGATGTAATTTATTATTTATCTCTTTTACCATATTTTTTAATTTATTGGAGGCTTTTATGGATAAAAAAGGTAAGCTGTTGCTCTCTATTAGCAACAGAAAAAGAATAATTACAGTCGATAGGACTCGAATTCAAAACCTCTCATGTGACACATAAATAAAATAACCAACTAAACCGTCACTCGATTGG